ATCTCATGAATAGTCACTGTAATTTCCATTTTTCTTTTCTCTTCTTCAAACTTAAGGTGTACTTTTGGAAAGCTTACATTACAAATTATTCATTTATTGGTAAAATATCTAAAAAATCAAGTTAGAAATAGACGGGAAACTCTAAATAAAATGACGATAAATGACGTTGAATTAGTAGTGATGTTTTGAATCGATGATATGATTTAAAAGAGCCGATGCTAGCATCATAAAAATCGCCGATTATAAATTTCACGGTTGAAAAATGTGATGCACTTCATTGTCCTTGGGAGGACCTTTCTAAAGGTGGAGGCAGCCTGACACTTCTTTTAAAAAAGTTAGAAGCCAAGGTAACTAACTGAGAAGTACACCCCTACGGCTTCTGAATAGAGCCGTTGAAGAATGGGCAGCCCTAACTTTTTTGTTTTCTTTTTTTCCCTTTTTTTCACGTGGAGGAGGTTGAGGAGAATCCGTCGGCGGACGATGTCCAATATTATGGACCAAGTGTGCCTTAGACTTCGACTTGACTGAGAATCAGTGAGCATTTGAGAATCTAACGAAAGCATACCTACGAGATATCATTTTAAATCAGAAAAACGAAACTAAAACATGCAAGAATGAAACTACTTAGCCGTAGGTATTGCAGGAACGTGAGCAGTTCCGTCCTCAGAAGGATTCGATGAAGCGGAAAAGCAACAAGAAATCCAAATACCAAGCGCAGAGTAATTGAATCTTGAACGAAAGGTCAAACCTCAGAGTTGTGAATGAAGCGGACGTAGTAACCTTGGGGGTATTGAAGCTGAATGAATGAACAGCTGGTCACGAGATAACGCTACGCACGGTCAGCTGGTAGAATATCTGCGCAGGCGCAGTATCCTCCCTCCCAGCATGTTCCCGACTTCAAGGTCAGAGCACGCGCCGCGTTGTCTGGAGAAGTAACCATCATGTATCTGGTCAGCACTGACGAGAGTGGCTTGACACACGCTTCTTCGCTCTAGTCTCGTTACTCTTGTTTTCATATCCTTGTTCCCCATTTCCCTCTCATTTTTCGTTCCTCTTTCTTATTCTAAGTATAATTTTAGTGGTATTTATTTTGTAACTGTTAATAATATGTAAGTTTCCATTGGAGGCAGTCAAACGGTTCGGCTGAATCGACTGTTTCCAATGAAAAATTTCATGTCATTAGCAGTCAGTGGTGCTCCTGTTTCATAGCTTCCGACGAATCCCTGAATGAAAGGCATTCTTCGGGATCATGTGAAACGAAATCCTTAAGGATATCACTCAAATGATACGCTGTTCCTCCTGGCGGGTACCAACGATTTTCTTTGCGGAGTGTCCGTAGGGCACTTCAAAAATAATTTCGTTGCTCTACCTACTTGATTTCGCCCGTCGACATTTTGGACGAATTGTAGTCGCCAAAATTTCACCCATTCCTCGCCTTCCGCCGGGTTAATGAAGAGATTGATGTGGTGAATCGTTGACTGGAGGACGTTTATTGCTGCCCATGAGGATACAAAGTCATCCTTGTTAGCTCCTTCGATCCATTCATTGATTCAGATCCCGCTCATGTCAAGACAACTTTCTCCGAAATTCGTTACTCGCATGGCAAGAAGGACCTAATTCATTTGAATCGATCGAGGCTGGTCGTCCTTCATCACCTCTATACAGAAGCCGTAGGGGTGTAGGTACTTCTCAGTTAGTTACCTTGACTTCTAATTTAAAAGGTGTGTCAAGGCTGCCTCCACCTTTAGAAAGGTCCTCCCAAGGACAATGAAGTGCATCACATTTTTCAACCGTCAAGTTTAGGTATAATCGGCGATTTTTATGATGCTAGCATCGGCTCCTTTAAATCATATCATCGATTCAAAACAACTCTACTCATTCAACGTCATTTATCGCCTTTTTTCAGAGTTTCCCGTCTATTTCTAACTTGATTTTTTAGATATTTTACCAATAAATGGATAATTTGTAATGTAAGCTTTCCAAAAGTACACCTTAAGTTTGAAGAAGAGAAAAGAAAAATGGAGATTACAGTGACTAGGTATTCATGAGATGCATCGGTTCCCGCGAAATAAGTAAGTAAATCGTTTTCCCCCGTCATTTTTGAGCATTTCCGGCCGGTTTTCATTTCCGTTTAGATCCGTGCCCCATCGATGCACGTTAGTAAGTGTTTATTACTCGAATGTATATACCTACCTTAGGATTGAAATAGCAGAGCGAGAAAATTGGAAATTGCAGTTACTATGCATGGAATGCATCGGTTAACGTGTGAAAAATCGTCTTTTTGCGTCAATCTCGAGGATTTTCGGGCCGTTTCCGGTCGATTTCCGGTTTCCATCAGACCGTTATTGATCGATCGGTAAAAGTATGGAAAGCGTTGATAGTCTGATTTTATACATCTTAAAGGGTGAACTGGGAAAAAATATCGATAATTGAAGTGTTCGTTATCGAGATATTTGAATTAACATGTAAAAAATCGTCTTTATTTTCAAAACCAAGTTTTGACCTTTTTTGGCCTATTTGAATTTCTTTAGGAAAATTCCATGGAAAATAGAACAAATTTTAAGCACAGTCTTTATTTACGGCCTATACGCGTATTGGTCGTTCTCGCTCCCATCGGCTTTACGGATTCTCCCGTACCCCGGACTACACTGTGGTATAGGTAACGGCTGGAGGTCAAAAACCTTTTTCCCCCGGTTAAGTCAGGCCTCTGGAGGCCTCCGGGATAACGAGCTATGAGCGTAAAGAACTTAAATGCGTCCATTAACTCGGTAACGTTGTTTTCGGTTCGCGAGTATTTCTCAATTTCATTTTGTATTAATTTTGCGCGATTTTAATGATTTATCGCTC